GTGCTTCCCTGGCAAGTGCAAGGGCCTGAGTTCAATCCCTGGTTCCGCCAAAAAAAAAAAAAAAAAAAAAAAAAAAGAATCAAATATTTATTTGTTGAAACTGTACTTTCGATTTGATTTGAAACTGTCTCATTGCTATATGTTTATCAATAAAACTTTGAAAAGGAAAAAAAAAAGCTATACTTGGCAAGCTCAAGGTCCTGGGTTCAATTCCACGTACCAAATATATATACATACATATATATATTTAAAAAAAAAAAAAAAGAAAGAAAGAAAGAAAAAATAACAGTGGCCCCATATGCCTTCTGAGTGGCAAAGATAAATCAACGTATGACACACTACTTACAGTGTTTAGCCCAAAAGTTGGTAAGACACTGGCAAACAGGTTCTCTATTTCACAAGTGCAGAATAACACCAAACTTCAAAGTTTTGTATTCATGAAGAAAAGATGGTTATCTGATGGAGCAGGCACTGGAGGACTGGGCAAGCCTCTACAAAGTTATTGCTATGAAGGCCAAAGTTATTGCTTGTATCTTCAGTTGCAGAAATGAGACTAAGAGGTCTATACAGCTTTCCCAAAAGGATTCAGGAAGCTCCAAAGCTACAGTGCAGACAGACCCCGAAAGATGGCTGGGTAAATTCCCATGATGCCAAGGCACTGGGTAGCTTCCAAGGTCAGAGCGTTACAGAAAAATGCAAGTATTTCAGGCTCTCCCAAAGAAATTCCTGGCAAACACAGAGCTGTTCTCCTAGAAGGTCTAAATATTAAACTGCAGCTTGGGAGCTTGGACAAAGAGACAGAGCTCACAAACAGGAAAAACATTTCTGGGCCATCAAAGATTCTTCAGTATTCCTTCTCCTCATTCCCATTTCATATGGCCACAGAGAAGATTCCCAATGCACAGCATGAAATCCAGCAATTTGGGAGTCTCAACTCCAATGTTTTAACAGTTTACATGAAAATTAAAATGCACTGGTACCTTGGTTCAAAACACTTGTTGGTGAACAATTTAGTTCAGAAGTCAAAGGTGTTTGGCAAAATTCTGTTTTTGTTTGCAAATTCTATTTTGGGTATCAAACACAACCATGCCCATCTTTCCCACACAAATACAAACGTGGCTGTCTCTCCCAAAACTGCATAAGAAATCAAGCTTGTGAACTGAAGAACCACTGTATTTCCTTCTAAGTACTAAATGTTTGCCACTTAAAAAACAAAGAAGGAAAAAAAAAAGCAAAGTTACCATCCAAAAAGCAGAAACCACGATTTCCACTATCTCCCCATACATCCTACATAAGGTATTCAGATTTGACACCTATGTTCAAATTTCTCAACAAAAATTTTTTTTGTTTTAGCCAGTAGACACGGTAACAGGAATTGAACTCAGGACCCTGCGCTTGCCAGGCAAGTACTTATTCTACTGAGCTGTCTTCCCTGCCCTTAGCTATAAGACATTTCGTAGCAAATTCAGATTATGGTTAGCCTTTGATGAACAAGATAATCCCACTTATCTGCATAATCATCTGAGACATTTTAAATTCTCTTTTTTATTATCCCTTTTGAAAATACATTAACTGAGTTTTTGGCTCAACTATAAAAATTGTTTCAATAACGAGAATTTGGAAAATGTCTCAGGTCCTCTCAACCATTCTCACCAAGATTCTTTAAGTCAAACGTGACAGTATGCAAAATAGCATCCATCTTTGCAACAGATCTCTGTGGCTAAATTATGCACTGGAAAATTAAAATTGAAATTACAGAATAGTGATGTTTTTAAATATAAGTAAATGCACTGTCATTTCAAAGACCAAATTAAACAACTGATCCCAAATTAAGTATTATCTGAGGTATTTCATAATAAAACTCACTAAAAAATCTCTTTAGTAAGTCTTAAATGTTATCATCCACACATTTTTTAGCTTAAAATTGTGTTCCAAAAAATGTCAAAACAAAAAACAAGACTCAATTCAAAACTGCCATTTAAAAAAAAAAAAATCAGATATGACATTGCTGCTTCTTAAGCTTTAGAAAGCTTTCTATGTGAGAAAACAGATCATGGAAATAAAGTTTCACTGTTTATAAATACTGTACTGGTTTAAAAGATCCTGGGTTTTCCAAGTCTTTAGTTCCATTTTGCGTGAAACTATGACAATTCTATACAATACATTAAAGCAAGTAGCCAGGTGTGGTGGTGCACACCTATGATCAGGAGGATTGCTGTGCGTTCCAGGGCAGCCTACACTGTGGGACCCTGTCTCAAAAGAATAGAAATTTTAAAATAAGGTAAGTGTATAAGACAAATGTAACATACCATTCTCACAAACACAAAAGGCATATCCCTCAAATATAACTAGTGTTTAGCTATGAACAGCCTTCCAACTACTCTGGCCTCTGCCAATGATTTTCAAATTTTCAGACAGGCCCAAGAATTAAATACAAAACAGCCTGTTTAATTATTCAATAATTCCCTGTAATAAATCACTGGAAATATTCTGTTCCAAAACAGTCTCTTCCCAGTCCTAAAACCTTTAAACTTGGGTTCATTTGCATTTTAAAATTGGACTTTTAAAAGTCACAGTAAAAATTCTCTCTTCATCAAGTTTTAGATCAGGTCTTTCAGATCTGAGAATGAAACTTGGTTTTAACAAGTAACTCATTTTTATGAAAATTCTAACCAGAAAACTAGTTATGAGTTAGAACAGTTCCAAGTTGCTTCTTTACTGCTTAAAATACCCTTTTACTCAAACTGAAAAGGCACTTGCTGTAATCTAACTTGCACCAAATGACTCTCCTCACCTCTGCAACAGCTCATCTGAAAAAGGCAGCCTAGTGCCTCTCAAAGCTTAACCCAGGTTCCCAGGAGCTGCATACCCGCCTCCACTCCAAATAGTCCTTATTTCACACCTTACAGGTCTCCTGGCTATAGTAAGTAAAGTTTAAAAATAAAATTACATGTGCATTTCAAACATTAGAATGTGAAACTAGGGGCCAGGGAGATGGTTCAGTGGAATAAGCACTTCCCTGGCAAGCACAAGGGCCTGAGTTCAATCCCCGGTTCTGCAAAAAAAAAAAAAAAAAAGAATGTGAAACTAATAGCTGCCTCAGTAATATAACTCTAGAATCCCTTTAAAATATATATATATACATATATATGTATATATCTTGGCCAATGCCTGTAATCCTACCCCAGAAGCTGAGGCAGGAGGATTTGCAAATTTAAAGCCCCGCAGGGATTCACAGTGAGACTGTCTCAAAAAACCAAAAATGAGAAAGTAAATCTTACGAAATGTAAGAAATATCCCTAGCTAAAATACCTTGAAAATGACATTTGTAAGGCAAGCCTGAAAATAGCCCCAAAATGGATACAACCAGTGAACTAAAGGTGTATCCACTTCCAAGGACATAAAATAAACGGTGTTAAGTACTAACTTGTGCTTTGAATGCCAAAGATTTTTTTTAAAAAATCACAGATTCTTTATAAGAGCTGAAGTAGGACTGGCAATGGAGCCAGACAAATATTTCAATTGAAATATTACGTAAAACCGAATCTGATAGACAACTCCGATTCTGTGACTTGTTCTATATAATAGGTCAAGCGTTAAGAGGCCCTTTATCTTTCTAAAACTAGGTAAAACTGCATGTAATAATACCTAATAATAAGATTCTAAGTGATGTCCTTTACTCTAAAACACATTTTGAAAAAAATAAAGTAACTCTTGCCTCCTTTTTTCAGAACTTCAACAGGATGTACTAACTTGACCTTTTGGCACACATTAGCCACAGGGATGCCCGTGTATGTAACACAACCTTGGTGTAACAACTACGCGGCAAACACGGACCTTCACCAAGTAATAGCGAGATGAGCGAGGAGATACTCGGCCAAGGAAGTCTCACAGCAACCTCCACCTGTGACAGTAACTCAATCTGCGGAGGCCGCTCGCCGAGACCTCCCGGAAAGCCTCCCTAGCTTGGGTCTTCCTAAAAGCCCCCGGGGCTTTCTTTACCGCGCGCTCGGGTCGCGACAACCCCCATCTTGAATCCCTCCCTCCCGATAGACATGGCAAAAAGGGCCTGAGGGGCCTCGTCTGCAAATCTTCAACCCTGCCCCGGAGGAGGTGGTCCCGGACAGTTCCCTAGACGCGCACCTCCACTCGACCTCCCCCAAAATTCCAGTCTCGGAGCTGCCCCGCACCGGCGCCGCAGTGCTCCGGAACACTGAACAGTCCAGACACCAAACACCGGAGCAGCCTCTGCCTTTCCGAAGAAAAGCCCTGCGCTCCACGGAAGACCTAGTTCCGGGACGCGTCTCTGCGTGGCCGTGCGGGCCCCTCACAGTCCGGATGCGCTGGCCCTTTAAAGGCGCCGGCTTCCTGCGCCCGCGGCCCCTCCCTGGCCGCCGCAGCTCCCGCCCCCGCCCTAGCCGGGGGTCACACTTGAACTTCAGCTCGCCCCGCGCCCAGGCGCCAAGCGCTCCGCAGGGGTGGCCACCCCTTCGCACGTGTCGGCAGCGCTCCTGGGGGCTCGCGGCGGCCGGCCCCCAGCACTCGAGACCACTCTGGCTAAAACCAAAACAAAGTGCCCCCTAACCGCTACACCCTGCACGGCCGGCCGCGCCCTGCGGTTCCCTCCACCTGCAGCCCGCGCCCAGGTGCCTGCCCGGTCTTCGGCGGCCTCGCAGCGCGCCCGTCTGCACGGCCTCGGGCGGCGGGAACGGGTCCGCGGCGGCGCTCCCCTGCCCTCCGAAGTCCGCGGAGCCGGGGCGGTCTCTCCGGGTGAGCCCGTTCCGCTCTGCACGCAAAACTTTTCTGTCCGCCCTGAAGCCCGCTTCTTGGCATACTTTCTCTCTACTCCTCAGCCTCCAGACGGACCCTTCCCGGTCTGGAGCTCGCCCGTGCGCCCCGCAACTACTCCAGCGCACCGGCTGGCCGCGGGCAGCCCCGCACGCACCTGCCGCTCCCGGCCCCGCGCCCCAGCCCTGCCCACCGCGCCCGAGGCCGCTCACCTTCCAGCCTGCCGAACTGTTGCTGTCGCCCTTGTCCTTGAAGTAGGGCACGCTCTTGACCATCCACTCGTAGATCTGCGACAGCGTGAGCCGCTTCTCCGCTGAGCTCTCGATGGCCTTCGTGATGAGGTCGGCATAGGACAGGTTGCCCCAGGCGTTGCGGCGGGACGAGCTGCTCTTGCGCGGTTGTCCCGCGAGTGGACCGGCGGCGGGGGGCACGGGCGGGTGCTGCGGCAGCGGCCCGGGGGGCGGCGGCGGCGGCGCCGGGTGCAAACAGCCCGCCTCGGGGCCCTGGAAGTCCCCGCACAGCCCCCCGCCGGCGGCCGCCGCCACCGCCGCCGCTACGGAGCCGGCCGCCCGCGGGAAGTCCTCGCTTTCCTCCAGCAGGCTCAGGCTGCTCATGAAGTCGGCGCTGACAGCGGGGGCCGGGGCCGGGGCCGGGGCCAGGCCCGCGGCAGCGTCGAGGTTCGCAGCCGCGCCGCCCGACGGCGCCGGGCTGGAGGTGGCCGAGCTGGACTGGCTGAACTCCGGCCTGGGCAGCGGCCAGGTGCACGAGCGCGGCCGGGGCAGCGGCTCGAAGTCCGGGTCGATCTCCACTACCTGGGGTGCCTCGGCCATGGTGACCCCCGCCCCTCCCCCAGCCGCGGAGAACGCAGGAGGGGAGAGCGCAACGCGGGGGGCGAAGGGCGCAGCGAGCTGGCAGCGGTCGGGGGCCGAGGTCAGCGCCGCGAGCGGAAGGAAACCTGGAGCCGGGCGCGGGCCGGCGAAGAGCGAGCCCAGAACTTAACTTCGCTGGTCCATCCGTACCCGAGCTCCTTGGGGCTGGCTGCGCGGACCGCACGGCAGGCTGGCGTCGCGCTCCTGGTGACAGGGCCGCGGACGGAAGGACAGAAGAACGCGGACGCACGAATGCCGCGGGCCGCTCGCCTGCTCGCTCTCTCCCGCGGCGTGACCGCAGCGCTGCTGCCTGTTGAATGTGGCGGTGGCTGCGGCGGCAGGAGCAACTACGCGGCAGCCCGACTTACGGGATCTGCCACCGCCCCCCGCCCGCGGCGGCGCGCGCGCTGACCCGCCCCTGACTGACAGCCTGCGCAACCAATGAGCGCGCGGTGCCGCCACCCAGTCAGCCATTTGGTGCGGACTTGGGCGGGGACTGGCCTTCCTCCGGGAGATGGCAGTGGGTTGGTGGGGGTAGCGGGGTGTTTTTCTGTTTCTAACACTCACGCATTCTTTTTTTTTTTTTTTTTTAAATCTCTGTTATTATTTTTTGGTAATTCTCGAGCATTTCTGTGAGTCTCTCGCCCTCTCAGTGTTTTGATTGCTAGGAAGCAAACCATCGTGAAGGCGGCGGCGACACTTTTGTTTACTACAGAGAGAAGCCGAGTGCTCGGGAAGCCCGAGTGAAACGAGACGCCTGCCTCACCACGGCCTCTCCTCGGAACCCAAACCGGGACGGGGTGGGGTGGGGACAGACGCTGCGCTCCGGGGGCGCGGGTGGGCGGTGCAGGCGGCCGCCCCTCGCTCCCCCTCGCCCCCCCGGCCCGTGCGGAGCGGCGTGAGAAGTCGGGGTGGGTGGCTGCTGTGTGGAATGTTTACTTTCGCGGTGCGCTGACAAGTCCGAGGCCCCGCGGGGCCGCAGCGCGCCGCGCGCTCTTCCCGCCGCCCCTCGCACGCATCCCACCTGCTCGCGCCCGCCCGGAAGCCGGGCCTGGGCGGCTCGCTTTAGCCCGGGGCCAGTTATGCAGTCCCGCAGCCGCTGGCAGCCCAGGTCGCACTCTGACCTCACAAAGCTAGGAATGAGGGGCAGGGGCTTGGCTCGGGCAAAAGAGGCCCCTGCTGCACGCACAGACCGAAAGTCACCCTAGACCTTCTGCGGGAACCTCTTCCGCTGCGTGGGCCCTCCGCTGAGACGGGACGGCGGGAAAACACTCCAGAGAGCGTTTAGGGAGAACCTCGCCGCTTTATTTCTTACCCCTAATTAAGCTTAAAACTGGACATGTGGAGTAAAAATAACAGTGGTAAGAGCAGCCTGGGGGATAGCTCTGCCCCAGGATTACCTAACCTGCCTGCTGCGTGCATCGGTCTACCCCAACCCCCGCCCGACCTTTCCCGTCGGGGCTCCGGGTCTGGGACGTCCTGTACTGGACCTAGGAAGGCCAAAGGTAGGAAGACAATTGACCCTGTGTCTCATGGAGTAGAAGATACAGTTTGCAAGTTTGTGTTTTTATTTTTTAGGAAGACCATGGGAAGCATTACCTTTTAGAAGGATGGGATCACTCAGGCTGGAAGGTAGATAATAGTTTTGAATATCTTGTCCAAAAGATCAGCTGCCAATTTTTAAAGAAAAGTATTTTCTTTCCTATATATAATTCAACCGAGAGTGGCATCTAAAGGAAAAAAATTAGAGAAGGTATGCCGCACTCCTGTATTCCCGGCAGGAGAACCACCACCAGTTCGAGGCCACCCTGGGCTACGTTAGAGTTCAATAGAGCAAGACCTTATCACAAAAAGTTATTAAAACATTTAAATCTACATACATATGTGCATATATAAACACACACACACATATATGCTTCTTAAGTTAAATTGATTTAGAAATTTATTCCTTTGTATCCTCACTATCACCTCTGTACTGCAGGCCCCTACTTCATGACCAATTTCACATCAGTTTCATAATGATACTACCGGAAGACAGGGTGGTGATTGCCAGGGTGGATAGGCTGAAGATAGGAATTGGTTGCCTCCCTCTTCCCTTAGTAGTCTTTTCACAATTATGTACTATCGAATTTGGACAATTGGGGCCTCTTCTGCCCGCTAGGGGACCTCAGCAACCCAGATGATGAGCTCAAAGGAAATAAAAGCTACAAAATCCTTGCTACCCACCCACCCTCAAGCCTAGCCTTTCAATTATGCTCACAGAAGCAACTTCCATTCAGGCAGCTGCACCCTACAAAATAGGCGGTGCCCTAGTGGATCATTCTTGGCAAAGAAGCGGCCCACAAATTTGGCCTTGCCTTCACTACTATTCCGGTTTTTCAAGGCCTCCGTCAGAAAAGAATATGATGTACTTAGGAGAGTTTTCTTACAGACTTTCCCCAAAATCCTTGAAATCTCTGAGGCTTCCCTATCAATTTATTTTTCAACACCAGTGCTTTGGGTCTGCTATTCAAGCACTTTATCTCTGCGCTACATCTCTAGCTTTAAATATA